CAACTCCATCTTTGGGTTTTCTAGCAGCGCCTCCCCAACGGGTACAATTTCAGTCCCCTGCTTGATGTAGGTCCCCAGCAGCTCCTTCTTGGTCTCTGCATCAATAAACGTTATCCTCTCTATCATTGCCCAGATAATGATGCCCAGGGCAAAGATGTCTGCCTTGGCAGTGTAGTGCCCCTCCCAGACCTCAGGAGCCATGTAGAAGTCTGAGCCACAAGCGGACGACAGCCAGTACTTGTTCACATTCACATTTTTGTTATCATTCCCTCCGTCTTTACCTCGAGCAGTCAAGCCGGCGCAGACCTTGCTGAGCCCAAAGTCTGCCACCTTGAGAATGGGTGCACCCGATTTCTCTGTGATCAAGATGTTGTCTGGCTTCAGGTCCCTGTGCACAATGTGGTTCTTGTGCAGAAAGGCAATGGCGCTTGTCAGCTGGAGCATAAAACTCTTGTTGGTGGCAGGGTCTGGTCTGCGAGAAAGAATGTACTGGTTCAGGTCTCCCCCTTCACAGTACTCCATGACAAACCAGAGATAACAAGGTTCTTCAGCATAGCCCAGGATCCTCTCACCTTGCCAGAGGGGGAAAGAAAGGACAAGGAAATGAATTACTGCACAGGCAAGACTGGAGAATTACCTAAGCTTAATTAGTATCTGTGGGGATGAACAACTTAAGGGGACATGCCTATCACTTTCTTTAAAGTCAATTACACACAAAAAAACCCCCTATAGCATGTACTGGTTATTATTCTAACACTGATGGTGGAGGGTAGAAAGGTATGCAAATGGCTGGATATTAGAGGCTAAGAGAACATGCCAGAACACGATGCTATCTTGAGTACTAGCCTAGGAGCAAGGTAAGATAAATTAGGCTGTTTGTTGTTGTTATGTGCCTTCAAGTCATTTTCAACTTTTAGCAACCCCAAGGCAAACCTATCATGGGGTTATCATGTCAAGTTTCTTCAGAGAGGGTTTGCCTGCCATCCTCTGAGGTTGAGAGAGTGACTTGCCCAAGGTCACCCAGTGGGTTTACATTGGCTGAGCTGAGATTTGAAACCTGGTATGCAGAGGCATAGTCCAACACTCAAACCACTACACCACGCTGGCTTGTCTGTACCCTATTCTTTCAGACACCAAGCAAACTTCAGAACTCTTTTTAGCCATGAATAGTGTTAAATAATGAGATAATTACAGTTCTGTGCTATATTTCAGTTCCACAAAAACTGCACCTTTCTCACACAAATATAACTGTGATATCACTTTTCTCCCATCTTGATTAGCAGTGATTTGTTAGGTGCCAACTTTCAATTCATGGGTTCAGTCCACAGAGAGGCATCACATAAGCAATGGTTGGGTGATGGTGTGGTTTGCAGTGAGAGAGAAGATGGAGATTCACTGGCAAAAGGTCTCTGGGAGCTATTTGGCAGAAACAGCAGCAGTGTTAAATTGGCTGCCTGGAATCCAACATCATGTAGCAATAACCAGCATACCCTCCAGCAGCAGGATTTTGCAGATGGGAATTTAATAAACTCAAATGACACAGATTTCAGTTATGTTAGTGCTCATCAGCTGGTTTTGTTCTATTGTCGAAACTGCAAGGAGTCTGGCTATGTTATAAAGGAAGAAAACTACCAACAAAAGGGAAGGAGACAAAACATGTTGTTAAATCCTGCAGAGCTCTCCTCACACTGGACTGAAACATCTGCAGAAAAGGGTAACAGTTCCAGTAAGATCTCATGCACAAACATTACAGGACAAGTAGCAAATATATCACAAGCACCAGATATGATAAAATATAAATAACAATCAACATAGCATAGTGCTCCCAGTGGCAGGACACAGAGAACCTCCCCAGCATGTCTCAATGGTCAGGCATGTGTATACAGAAAGAGATGCTCCTTTAAGCATCAAGGCCTCAAAAGCATTTTTGTGAGAGAGTTCTTTAATCTTTCATTAAGTAGTCCACTTCATGCCCACCATAGAAAAGTACTTCTGTATCCATAGATTCTTTATCCATGGATTCAAGCGTCCCTGGCTTGAAAATATTTTTTTAAAAGTATAAATTCCAAATAGCAAACTTTGATTTTGCCATTTTATGTAAGGGACACAATTTCACTATGCCATGGTATTTAATGAGACTTAAGCATCCACAGATTTTGGTACCCAATTGGGGGGGGGGGTTCCTGGAACCAAACCCCAGCGGATAACAGGGACCCACTGTATCAGGGCCCACTGTATTTCCTTATCACCCTGCTATGAGCAGGCTCTTTTGTAGTAAACTTGTACCACACATTGCCATATACAGCCCAAGGCATGCCAGTCTCAACAAAATGCAAAGTAAGTTAATTGACAATGAAAAACCTCACACATTTTGAATTTAGGTAAAAAGCCCCCTTGCCCAAGGAGAAAAAATAAGGAAGGTGAGTCCAGCTAGGAGCTTCTGTGCTCACACTGCAGCATGGCACAGTGTCACTACTGCCAAAAGGAGTGCAGATACAAATATGCAAAATCCAATCTACTACTGTCAAACTGCATGCATGTCTATAGACAATCATGCAATGGAGTAACAATAATAGCTCTACCAACTACTTGGCAGGTTTTCCCAGTGGCTCAATAGATGATAACCAAGAAGATAGCATCTTTGGAGAAAACAGGGCATGCAAGAACTGTGCAGGAATCCCTTAAATTTTGACATGAGGCAAGCTGAATTTATTAGGAAGGGAAAAACTATAGGGTGCTTCTCTAAAGTCTACTTGAACTGTAATAAGATGTTTGCCACTTGTCTTGCCTCTAAGCAAGACTATCTTCCACTATTTCATTTCTGCATTGTATAAGTCTGTTTGTTGTATTCAAGTAGCACGTTTCACTCTCTAGGCATGATGTTCACACAGACTGCCAAAAAAGACAGGCGACAGATTTCTTACCAAGATGCCACAAAATTTTTCAAGCCATTGAGGAACCTCCATCAAAAATGCTATGTGTTTATTCAGAAGCAAGCTCCAAGGTTTGGGGGTTTGTATGTGTAGTCAAACATGGCCAAAGCAAGAGAGTTGACAATATAATGGAATATGCATACATCTAAATGCAGTAACATTGTGAAGAATTTCTTTAATATAAAAACTATTCAACAGTGGAATATATTGCCTAAGAGGGTGGTATACTCTCCTTCTTTGGAGGTCTATAGAAACATAGTTGGAAAAGACCTTCAGGGCCATCAACCCTCTGCCATGCAGGAAGACACAATCAAAGCACCCCTGACAGATGGCCATCCAGCCTCAGTTTAAAAACCTCCAAAGGAGGAGACTCCATCACCCTTCAAGGGAGTGTGTTCCACTATCAAATAGCTCTTACTATCAAGAAGTTCTTCCTAATGTGGAGGAATGTGTCTTTTTCAGTGGTTTGAACCCACTGCTCCACGTCCTATTCTCTGGAGCTGCAAAAAGCAAATTTGTTCTATCTTCAGTATGACATCCCTTCAAAAAATTAAACAGAAGTTGAATGGGAATCTTTCAGTAGTGCTACAACCGTGCATTCCTACCTGGCAGGGGGTTGGACTTGATTACCCTTTTGGCCCCTTCCAACATTACGATTCTAACAAAACATATGTAAGCCCAAAACCGCCTACTGAGTTCTCTTTTCAGTTCTTTGGTATCTCAGACATATTTTTGTTCGCCTTAGCAAATCTGAAATTTTAAAGGTGACTCTTGGGATGTGCTCCAGACAAGAAAGGAGAACTTGGAATGAGAAGACGAACAAATATGACTGAACAGAGTAAGAAACAAGAAGCTACCAGGTCTTCAATAACCGCCTTTGTAGTGCATAGATAGTGAGGAATGCTGGTTATTTGCATAAACAAGTCTGTCACCATGACTATTACTATGGTAATTGAAAGTTATATCACAATTTGGCCATCCTGCCCTGTCAACAGTGATGGAGAAAACCTTTAAAAAGAAAAAAAAATGACATCATAAAGGGTGTGCAGCTCAACAAACATCCAGGATCAACAAGGCTTTAATGTCACTCAGAAAAAAGGAGGGAGGGGGACACATTGTAAACTGCAGGGCAGTGTTGCCTTTAACCACTGGAGGTGAACAAAAGAAAGAGAGGAAAGGCAGTGACAACATGGAAACTGAAGAGACAGTGGCTGCACTCAAAACATGGAGGTCTATGGGGGTCAGTTAATGAAGCTACAAGCCATACAGGGTCACAGCTCTGCTCCATTAAATGCTCAACATCACCCTGTTAAGAAACAAGGTTGCTTTTGTGTGGCCACTGCTCTTTTCAGTCAGTTGCCATAAACCTGTTTGGTATGGCTGACAAATACTCGAAAAATGCTTCAGGGAGGGGGTGATCCTTGACATGCTGAGGCCACTATGTTTTAAGATTCCTACTGGAATATCCTGAAGATGTTCAGTAGGATAAATACTGGCTAACCGAGTACACTTGCAGAAGAGATTAAATAAACTTGCCATGGTTCTCCGTGTTACAAAGAAACATTTGTGAAAGCCTGTTCACTGCAGTAGATATTGCTGTAAGTTTTGCTTAAAGAGAAACCAAGAGGTGTTTCACTGTTGGTAGTGAGCTCTCTCATTCCGCTAACTTTTTCTATCTCTTTCATCCCACTATCATTTCTGGTTAAACAGGATGTACAGATTTCTAACTTACTACAGAAAGCCAGCAATGCTCCTGTTGCAGTCTTCATATATAGAGACAATGGGTAAATTTTGTTGCTGTGTGCCTTCAAGTCACTTCTGGCTTACAGATACCCCAAGGCAAACCTTTCACAGGGTGGATCAGACTCAGTGTGGATTCAAACCCTGACCTCCATAGCTATGGTACAGCACTTAAATCACTACAACATGCTCGCTCTTATAAAGATACTATTTTAAAAGTCGCTAATGTCTGTCTCCAGCTAAGAAACATCAGCCCTAGCATTCCTGTGTTCTGAAAATGCTCTGAAAATATAACCTGCTTTGGCTTTAGCTCACTTATGTGGATGAGCTAGCATGGTATAGTGGTTTGCACACTGGACTACTACTCTGTAGACCAAGGTTTGAATCCTTGCTCAGCCATGGAAACACACTTGGACAAGTCTCATTCTCTCAGTCTCAGAGGAAGGCAAAGGCAAACCCCCTGTGAACAAATATTGCATGAAAACCCTGTGTTTGGTTCACCTTAGGATTGGAAACAACTTGAAGGCAGATAACAACTACACCAATGTGGAGTTTCACAAAATTTTCAGTTGACTAGTATTCTATGTGAGCTACTGTTGATCCAACTCACCCATCTACCCACAACTTCAGAACTCCAAATGCAGAAGTGCAAGAGTTAAACTAGAAACTTCCTAATGTTTAAGATTGGTTTTTCCATTAAGTTTGTGAGATTTATCTGAGGAAAAAGTGGGAAGTTGAAAAAAAGTAATGGTTAATCCCTGTTAAATGTACCTGAATCAAGCTAGAGAGCAATCTTTTTTTTAAACTGCAAAAAGTATGACTGCCCATGAATTACTTTTTCCTGAAGCTTGCCCTGAAATGGCCTAGCATTTTGCTTAAATGCATTGGTTACTCAGCTACTGTATTTTCCGGCATATAAGAAAAGGGTCTCAAAAGTCAGGGGTTGTCTTATACACTGGGTAGAGGAGGATGAGGACGAAGGGAGAAGAAGGGAGCCAGGAGAGAGAAGCAGGACGATGAGGATGAGTGGAGAAAGAGAAGAGAGCCAGGAGAGAAGAGGAGGAGGATGAGAACAAAGGGAGAAAGAGAAGAGAGCCAGGAGAGAGGAGAACAAAGGGAAAAAGAGAAGAGAGCCAGGAGACAGGAGGAGACTGAAGGGAAAAAGATAAGAGAGCCAGGAGAGAGGAGGAGGATGAGAACGAGGGGAGAAAGAGAAGAGAGCCAGGAGAGAGGATGAGAACAAAGGGAGAAAGAGAAGAGCCAGGAGAGAGGAGGAAGAGCATGAGAACGAGGGGAGAAAGAGAAGAGAGCCAGGAGAGAGAGAAGGAGGAGGATGAGAACGAGGGGAGAAAGAGAAGAGAGCCAGTTCTACAGTATGGATGCAGTCTGAATCTGCATTGCAGAAATAATGCAGTTTGACACTGCTTTAACTGCCATGGCTCCATCCTATGGATTCCTAGGATCTGCAGTTTGCTTTGTGGTACCAGAGCTCTGACAGAAAAGGCTAAATATCTCACAAAATTGCAAATCCCAGAATTCCATAGCCTTGACCCAGGGCAGTTAAATTTCTGCAATGCAGACTCAGCCAAAGTTGATGTGTTGCTTGGGCATGGCTTCTTTAACAAATAATCCTGCACAATGAAAGAGAGAAATTGTACCTTTGAAGTATTTATCTAAAGAACCACCATGTTCCTTAACTTGGAGGTTATATGTGTATGTTGTGTGCCTTCAAATTGTTCCTGATTTATGGTGATCATGGTGTTTTCTTGGCAAGATTCGCTCAGAGATGGTCTGCCATTGCCTTCCCCTGAGGCTGAGTGTGTGACTTGTCCAAGTTCACCCAGTGGGTTTCATGGCAGAGTAGGGAATCAAATCCAGGTCTCCAGAGTGGTAGTCCAACACTCAAACCACTACACCATACTGGCTCCTATTCCCATGTATTACTTATGAAACAACTGCAGACCTTTTTGTTGTTCTTGTGTGTCTTCAAGTCCTTATCATGGGGTTTTCTTGGCATGTTTCTTCAAATGTGGGTTGCTATTACCACCCTCTGAGGCTGAGAGTGTGTGACATGCCCAGGATCACTTACTTGGACGCAAATTGTACATACCCCAGAATGCATCACCTAGTATATTGGAAGTCCTTCCCCCCAACACTTTCAAATTTCCCCCCAACCAACTCATAGCTGGGAGATGGAAATAATTTTTAAGGCAGCCTTTAAATCTGGACTATTTTTTTAAAAGTAAGATCCAAAACACACTGCAGAAATAAATGCTAGGGAACATGGGAGCTGTAGATTGTTGTGTTTATAAGTGACAGTTTTCCTGCTAACTACCTGCATGTCATAAGCATTTGAATTAAAATTACCATATTGAAATCAAATTTGATTTTTTAAAATTTTTATTTGGTGTGCGTTGGAAGAGGGGTAGTCTTCTACGCTGAGTATATCCCAAACTCTATATTTTAACTGGAAAGGTTGGGGTAGTCTTATACGCTGAGTCATCTTATACGCCGGAAAATACAGTAGTCTTCTCGGTGAAACGAGTATGCATACAGCTAGCTTATTTTACTCTTGTTTCCTTTTGCCTAATACCCTCGCAATGCTCCAATGAAGTAGCTATAGAGGAATGTCCAGTGCATGCTTTGTTATATTATTTTTAAATTGCTTAGAAGGGGACCCCATCCTTGTTTTCCTTTTTAAGAACAGCAATTAAATTTAAGAGTTCCAGGTCTAGCTTTAAAACCTGCTTATTGACTAACAGAAAAATATATTTTCAACATAAAAAGCAGTCCTGTTGTTAGAAACTGAGCAACATGCTTTGAGATCAGACAATTCAACTTTTCAGAACTGACAGCATAACTAGATGGAACAGAATGATAGCCAGTAGTGGGGCAAGATGAAGAGGAGTTCAGACAATGCTATACAAAAAATAAACATGACGTCACACACAGGGATAGCAAACCTATGTCTGAGAAAGCCCAACTGAGCACAAGGACAAATCCTTGCAAGCAAAATACATGTAGCATTGCAATGCAGACCTTTCAGGTATGCTGTGGTCTTCTCTCCCAGTTGCTCGCTTCATAAACTTGATTTTTTTTGCAAATTTACTCACTTAAACTTAAGGGAACAGCATCTCCTTGCTACATTCACTAGAAACAGGGGAAAACTGGGTCTATTGGTGTTATCACATACAATGACCACATTCTCTTTCCACACTTGAGTGACCCACCATGTTACAGTGAAGAGCTAATGGAGAATGACTAGCTGAAAATCCAAAACAATCAAACCAGAAGCTCAAAAGCTGCCAATGTCCAGAAAATGAATGCCGCACATGTCTCCAGTGCCCATCTGGGCAGTCCGTGCGCTCCTGCATGGCACGCAGCTGAACAGCATCTGCAGCATGCAGGCTGACACGTGAAGGAGGGGAGGTTGGCTTATCCATAATAAGCCAGCTCTGCAGAGCAACACTATGGCCAGAGAAGAGCAGGCAGTTTAGCTGCGCAATGTTATGGTGCTAGGACGCTGCACGTTGTTGTGGCACGTGGCACACCCCACTCCCACCACCATGCTTTGACTGTTTGTCTAGTGTCTGAGGAATACTTTAAAAAACAACAACCCAAACATTGGCAGTAACATTCTGGTGAAAAACTGCTGTGCAGAAGGCCCAGATACTGTTTGCTCTTCCGCTTTATCTGTAGTCCAGCACTCAAACCACTATACCATATGGCTCTCTTATTTGACATTCTCTCCCTTAAGCTTGTGTTCTTAATGTTTAGACTTCACCTTTCATAATCACTAGGGTTGGTGTCACCCGGTGCAGTAAATCATGGTGTCAACCCTGCATTGACCTCTTCCCATCCCACACCATACAGAATCTTTAGCAATGTTTTTTGTTCTAATGTTACTCATTAATCATAATTCCTGCATATCACTGACTATAATGGTAATAGTGATATAAAATAACTAGCAAAATCACAATTATACCTTTAAATTACATTATCATGCACACAGCCTCAGTGCATTTACATGCATATAGTTTCATGTAGTTGAAGTGAAAATTTGGTAAAAGGTGATATTTTTAAAGAAAATGTAAAAAAATAATTTAAAATTTTTTAAAAACCAAACCCTGGGGCCTCTCCTTTCTTCTCCCACTGAGCCTCATCCACAAGCACCATCTCTTCAGCATTTTAAAGAAATGCAGGTGAATGCCACAGCTGATTTTTGCCCAAAAGCAGATGTTTGAGGAACAGTGGTGTCACTGTCTCCTAGGGTGTCACCTGATGCAATCCGCACCCCCCTAGTGACACCACTGCCCATAAACTTTGGCCATGCTGGTTGGAGTTTAGGAGAACTGCCTTTCTATAGGACACCAGGTCGACTACCCTTGTCCAGGGCATAATCTTCTGCCCCTGCAATGTTGGGGGCTGCAGAGATAAAAGCCCCAAATCTTTATGTGGATAGAAGCTACTTCCAACATAAAGAAACAGGTTTTTAAATGTATGTGTGTGGGGAGGGACTGCAATTTATCTGAATTGTGAAATGTGTCTCCCAGGAGTTCACACTTTCTGGGTCAGAAAATGTGCACTCTGGAAGAGTCGAGGGCCAGAAAACCAGCCTTGATTATCTCTCTGACCATCTTTGGCCTAGATGATAACTTCCCACCATCCGTATCCTAGATATAAGAACTGTGCATCCTCTACCAAAGGGCACGATCACAGTGACTTATAATGGCACATGAAGCTGAGTAGCGTGGAGGCAACCCAGAAGGGATAACAATACTGGGGAAAGAAAACAAGGCATAATTATACTGTCCAGCATTTCTAGGTATTGAAATCCAACAGCATCTGGAGACCAATAGGTTAAATGAGCTCCTTATCCAAAAAACCTGTGGTTATCATCAAGCTTTACCCACAGAACAATGGTGACCATGTTTCCTCCAGAAGACAAGGATATACAGCAGATGCTTATTCTCTTCTTTTAGACTGCGAATAACGAAACTGCACAATGATAGACAAAGATTTGTAGACTATTAACTAGCATTTCTATACTGCTTTATAGTGCTAAGTGCTCTCTAAGCAGTTTACAGTGCACAACCGAGATAAAAGGGCCTCAACTTTCAGGGCTGACAACTCTAGCCATATGTGAACTTTAAATAAAATCTCCATAGGAGAGCGAGACAACTTGTTTCATTTACCTATCTGTATAGAGCTGCAAGTTTCAAACATAACCCAGTGATCAGAATGTTTTCCCCAGCTTCCTATGAACAAATCTTGCCAAGAAAACCCCATGATACGTTCACGTTAGGGTTGCCGCAAGTTGGAAATGACTTCAAGCACACAATAACAATTTAACCTTTGACTTCAGAATTACAACAGTTCCAGAATTAAATAACTACAC